TCATGGTCTCAGGCTGGATTCTGGTGGATTTTAATCACCTCATCAGCCGGAAATCAGAGGAACTCTGGCTCCAAACGGAGCTTAACAGCTAAAACAGTGTAAAACACACACATGCTGGCAGGAGTTAGCTTAGTTAGCTCATCAGTCTCCAGCCTGACAAGCAGCTACAGACAGAACCAGAGGAGTGGAGATTTATGAGGGGTTTATTAGTGCAAAGGCCTTAAAAAACATTAAATATAGAATATAATATACCAGTAAATGATGGGACCTGTCCAACTGGACTCCATACTGGTCTGGGACTAGACTCCATACTGGTCTGGGACTAGACTCCATGCCGGTTGTGGACTAGACTCCATGCTGGTCTGGGACTAGACTCCATGCTGGTCTGGGACTAGACCCGGTGCTGGTCTAGGACTAGACCCGGTGCTGGTCTGGGACTAGACTCCCTGCTGGTCTGGGACTAGACTCCATGCTGGTCTGGGACTAGAATCCATACCCCATGCTGGTGTAACGTGAGGGTTAGAATAAATGGTCTCTGGATCTTTTTCCAGAAGGAGAACCGAAAGGATGGAGACAGGTGAACTTTTGGACCACGCTTTATTCCGTCGCATTCCAATTTTTCTTTAACAGACCCACTTCCTTGTTTTTGTCACATGACTAAAAAGGAACCAATGAGAATTTAACCTAAGGAAAAGCAGATTCAACTAAATATCTTAAAGACGTAGTCATGAATTAAATCAAATATAACTATATGAACTACCAAATTAACTAAACTTTACACTGGTGGAGTGGTGATTTATGGGGGTGTTTATTAGTGCAAAGCCCGTAAAAACCATTGAATAATGTAACTATAACTATAATGTACCAATAAATGATTGGACCTGTCCAACTGGACTCCATACTGGTCTGGGACTGGACTCCATACTGGCCTGAGATCACACTCCATACTGGTCTGGGACTGGACTCCAGGCTGGTCTGGGATCAGACTCCATACTGGTCTGGGACTAGACCCGGTGCTGGTCTGGGATCAGAGCTCTGCCTGTGCTGGTCTAGGACTAGACCCCGTGCTGGTCTAGGACTAGACTCCATGCTGGTCTAGGATCAGATCCCTGCCTAATCTGTGCTGGTGGATGGAACAGAATCTGAGCTCCTCTTTCAGAGTTCAAACAGAAAAGCGAAAAGCCAAAGTGACATTTGGAGGCTCTCTCTGGGACGAGGAGCCCTGATGTACATCTCCATTTTTAGCCTTTCAAACAGATAATGTGCAGAAAGGCCCTGAGAGAGTCCTGTGAGGTCCAAACCCAGAAAAGGTCAGTGTCCCTGAACACAAACAGAATCTGTTTCATTACAGATTCACATTCACAGCTCAGCTGGACCTGGACAAACTCAAAAAGTCCCCCAGTAAACACCCAGCCTTTA